CCCGTCCCCAGGCCCAGGCCCTGGGTGTTAGGCACGGTCCCAGAGGGATGCGACATTCCTGAAACAAATTTCCAAACCCCAAAGAACGTTCAGAACCAAAGAGGCTCTCTGTGCACAGGCCTAGGACAGACATTGAAGGGCAGGACCCAGATGACTGGTTCCTACTGGGCATGTAGTTTAAAACACCAGTTAAGGGGCCAGCAGGTGGCGTCATAGTTAAGGCGTTGTACTCCCACATGGCCGACCATGGTTCAATTCCCAGACCTAGTGGCTTGCTTTCTTACCTTCTTTCTCTCTTTCTCTGTCTGCCTCTCTAATGAATGCATGTGCACTATAGCAAACAAAATAATAATAATAACTAATAAAATTAAATAAATAATAACTTTTTAAAACACCAATTAAGAAATAAAATTTTTAAAAGATTGTATGCTGGTATGTGTAGCAGCATTATGCACAGTAGCCGGAAGGTGCGAGCAACCTAGATGTAGGAGCAGAAGGTGGTGCCTACGTAGACGGGAGTCCTCCTCAGGCTTAAAAAGAAGGGCATTCTGAGCCATGTGGTAACATGGGGAACCTTGAGCACAGTATGCCTAGTGACAAAAGCCAGACACAAAAGGCCAAACACCGTCAGAGTCCTGAACTGTCAGATTCGTAGCAAGTAGACAGAAAGCAGGAAGAGTTTGCCTGGGTTGTGAGGAGGGCCACCAGGGAGCGGGTGGTTAATGGGAAGAGTCCGTTTGGGAAGATGAGAACATTCTAGACATCGTTGCAAGACGGTGTTAATGTGCTTAACACTACGGAGTTGTACGCCTAAAATTGGTTAAAATGCTAAATTGTGTTATGTATATTTTACTACAATTAAATAAATAGTAAATCATGCAAACAAATAATAGAAAGAAAGGGTGCCATCCTGGGGGAGGCAGAACCACCGTCCCTCTTGGTCTCCTATCTCACAGAATTCGGATAGAGCCTTGAGACCTTAGTGTCCTTGAGACTCCCCTCCCTCGCCCTGTGCCCCCATCAGGCCGTGGGATCCCCCCTCTAGATGGGCCCAGGGATAGCCTTCCCACCGAGAGGTGCCTCAGACACTAGATGGTCTGCAGCCAGAGCCAGCCCAAGCCCTCCGTCTGTCCCCAGTGGCCGGCATGAACCACCTGCGGGAGAACGGCATCGTGCACCGCGACATCAAGCCCGGGAACATCATGCGCCTGGTGGGGGAGGAGGGCCAGAGCATTTACAAGCTGACGGACTTCGGGGCTGCCCGGGAGCTGGACGACGACGAGAAGTTCGTCTCCGTCTACGGGACCGAGGAGTACCTGGTGAGGGCTGCTGGGCCCGCTGTCCTACCCGGGCCTCTGCTGGTGGTGCCTGCCAGGGGCCTGGCCCAGCCCCTGTTTGGCAGGGTTATAGCTCACCCCGTACCTACCAGAATTTGCTCTTTCCTTTTTGATGGAAAAAAGGGGAGGCTGCAGCCTGCCTGGGCTACCCTACCCACTCTGCCCCAGCCCCGCTCGGTACAGCTGACCCCCTGCCCTGACACCTATGGAGGAAGGACTGACACGGCTGGTCACTCCCTTCCCAGGGCAGAGGCTGGGCAGGGGGATGCACTGGGTGGGTGAATGCGACACCCATGTTTGAGATGCGAAGGAAATGGGTTCCAAATGGTTGTGTTTTCACCTGAAGGTGATGGAAGGGGGTCTGGAGAATGGGGGGCTCGGGCTCGTGTGCCCCTCCATAGCTGCTCCTGGCTCTCTCTGCACAGCATCCCGACATGTACGAGCGGGCAGTGCTTCGCAAGCCCCAGCAAAAGGCGTTCGGGGTGACTGTGGACCTCTGGAGCATTGGGGTGACCCTGTACCACGCAGCCACTGGCAGCCTGCCCTTCGTCCCCTTTGGGGGGCCACGCCGCAACAAGGAGATCATGTACGGAGGGAGGGCCACGGGGCAGGGCTGAGGGGGTGCGGGCCCTGGGCGCTCCATGGCAGATACCTGGCCATCCCCACCAGTCCCTGCTGTCTCCTATTCCCGCTCCCACTCTGTGCTCCTCCTGGTCCCACCCCCACCCAGGCTCCTTTGTGATCATTGTGAATGATCCTTGAGATCCCGTGTGAATTAGTCAGACAGGAAACTGTGCCATGGCTGATGGTGGGCTGCTGACATTCCCGTCTCCGGGCTCACCCTCCACTTGAACCCTTACCAACCAAGGCCTAGAAAGCCACTTGCCCAGGGTTGCGGAGCTGTGGGGCCGAAAAGGGTGGGGCAAGAACCCAGCCCCAGGCCAGAGCCCAGGTCTGTGCATGCTTCCTGGCTTGGCTGCCCCTGTGGCTGCTCCCCCGAGAGCACCACCCAGCACAGGTGAAGGTAGATTAGCAGGACGGTTAAGTCTGGCACCTCAGCCCGAGGACCAAGCTGTGTGACCTTGTATTAGGTGGAGAAGGGGAAGGAGATGACATGGAACGAGTTGTCAGGGGCCTGGGTTATCAGCAGGCTGCAGCCTCCCTGGGCTACCCTGCCCACCCTGCCCTGGTCCCTCTTGGTGCGGCCCATTCCCTGTCCTGACACTTATGGGGGAGGAACAGACCCTGAAGAGGGGAGGATTGGAGAAGTGAAGAGGCCGGGAGCCAGCTCGCCAGGCAAGGTCATGGAGGCAGGTTGAGCGAGGCCTGTGTGAGGGCACAGGGGCTGTGGGTGGGCAGGTCTTGACCTGGAATGAAGAGCTTGGCTGGGGCGTGTCACTGCCAGGAGATCTGGTCGGCTGAGAGCCAGGCTCCCCAGTTCCACTTTCCAGACTACCTGCAGGGGGCTGCATCCAGGGCTCTGGGCCTTCCAGGCAAAGCCTGTCATCCTTAAAGCGGGGAGGGATTAGAGCCCCACCCACATGGCCCTGCCTCACCCCAGGTACCGAATCACCACGGAGAAGCCAGCTGGGGCCATCGCAGGTGCTCAGAAGCGGGAAAACGGGCCCCTGGAGTGGAGCTACACCCTGCCCATCACCTGCCGGCTGTCTGTGTGAGTGAGACCCTGCGAGGCTGGGTATCCCCCTGCGTGCTGCAGCCTTGGGCGACGCTTTCCTTCTGTGGCCTCAGTCTTTCCACGTGAAAGCTGGAGAGAGTTCTTCCAGCAACTTCTGCCCAGCCCACGCCACCCTCCCTCTTCAGTCCTCCCTGGTAACCTGCCCAAGGAGGGTGAGTGTGGGCCCCGCCCTGACAGCCCCACGTCCTGGAGCAGGGGGCTGCAGAGCCAGCTGGTGCCCATCCTGGCCAACATCCTGGAGGTGGAGCAGGCCAAGTGCTGGGGCTTCGACCAGTTCTTTGCGGAGACCAGTGACATCCTGCAGCGCGTCGTCATCCACGTCTTCTCGCTGTCCCAGGCAACCCTGCACCACGTCTACATCCACGCCCACAACACGTACGTGGGGCGAGGGAGGGGAGCGGAACCTTCTCCACCCAGCCACAGGGCCTGTGGGAAGCAGCACCCTACAGCATACTCTGCAGAGTGCTTAGAAAAGGAAGCTTCCGGGTCCAAACCTTGGGGAAACACGGGTTCCATGAGGCTGAAGTGGGACAGGTCCTTCTCGCTGCTGACCCTCGGAGGTGTGGCACCAGCAACGCGGATGTGTGTGATGGGCCTGAGAAGTATGCGCGTGTGGGTGGCACCATTTCTAACTTATTGCTCATCAACCCTTTTTTCTGGAATACTGTATGGGACTAGGTGGATTTTTTTTCTTCCCTTATCCGAGGAAAAGGAGGGGACAGAGGCAGGTAATTGTGACAGTGTCTCTCAGCCTCCCAATCAGCTCGGATGACAGGCATGTGCCGCGGTGCCCGGCGGGTTCAGCTTGGCCTGGGAACCAAACCCAGATCCCACATGGCCTCTAGCCACTCATGCAGCCTCAAGCCCCCCATGTGGCCTCTAGCTTCCCTAGCAGCCTTTAGCACCTCCCATGTGGCCTCTTAGAGCCCCCCATGTGGCCTCTAGCCCCCAGAGCAGCAGTGCTCCCTGGGCACCCCTGGGGCTGGGCCGACGAGGTGAATTCCGTGGAGTATGGTGGCAGTGGAACAAAGGCCGAGGCGGGCATCGGACCTCCTGGGTCGTTCCCGCTCTGTCACCATCAACTGTAAGACAGAACCGTTGTCTCTCCGCCCTCGAGGAGAGAGACAGCCACTCCGTCTCTCCCTCTGAAGAACTGGGCCTTCTCCACGGGCACAGTCTAACGGGGGGGGGGCCCCCCACCCCCCCGCCCTCCC